TTAGACGTACGAGTCTCGGAGGCGGAGATGGATTCGTCGACGCCATTTCTGACGAACGATGGTGTGGTAGAGGATGATTACGCTCCGGCGAGGAGCTGGTCCGATGTGAAACAAGTGTTGGCTACTGAGTCGGCGAAGATGTGGATGATCGCTGCTCCGGTTGGTTTCAACGTCATCTGCCAATACGGTGTTGGTTCCATCACCAATATCTTCGTCGGACATATCGGCGAGATCGAGCTCTCCGCCGTCTCTATCTCTCTCTCCGTCATCGGCACCTTCTCCTTTGGCTTCCTGGTACACTCTACTCTCAGATCCACATGCATACTTACTGTCAAATCGGACTACTGAATCTAATTTTGTGGTTTGAAATTGTAGCTTGGTATGGGAAGTGCACTTGAAACACTTTGTGGTCAAGCATTTGGAGCTGGTCAAGTTCATATGTTAGGTGTTTATATGCAGAGATCTTGGATTATCTTGTTCGTTTCATGTATCTGCCTGCTTCCTATTTACGTCTTTGCCACACCGGTTTTAAGGCTTTTGGGTCAAGCAGAGGAGATTGCGGTTTCAGCAGGAGATTTCACTCTCCTAACACTTCCTCAACTCTTCTCGCTTGCTTTCAATTTCCCAACCTCCAAGTTCCTTCAGGCACAGAGCAAAGTGACAGTCATTGCTTGGATTGGGTTTATGGCTCTCGTCCTACACGTTTTCATGTTGTGGCTGTTTATTTCAGTGTTTGGTTGGGGAACAACTGGTGCTGCTTTGGCTTTTAATATCACTAATTGGGGAATAGCAATCTCTCAAATCGTTTACGTTGTTGGTTGGGGTGTCGAAGGCTGGACTGGTTTGTCGTGGTTGGCTTTTAAAGAGATTTGGAGTTTCGTTAGACTCTCCATTGCATCAGCTGTTATGCTTTGTCTTGAAATTTGGTATATGATGAGTATTATCGTCCTTACTGGTCATCTCGACAACGCTGTTATCGCTGTTGATTCTCTTTCTATATGGTGAGTTTCAGCAACATTTTTACATCAAAACAACATTTGTTATGCTCTGTTTTAACATTTGGATTTTACATTGCAGCATGAATCTCAACGGCATTGAGGCCATGTTGTTCATCGGTATAAACGCTGCTATAAGGTAAAATCAGCATCTCACACAACAACTTTTGTGTGTGTTTTTATAACGGTGTACTTCAATAATTGAACTTATAAAGCCATGTGTCTACTTGTGTTAGTGTCCGTGTCTCCAATGAGCTTGGCCTAGGCAGACCACGAGCAGCTAAATACTCTGTCTATGTCACGGTCTTCGAGTCTCTGGTAATTGGTCTTGTCTTTATGGTGGCTATCATCATAGGCAGAGATCATTTTGCCATCATCTTCACAAACAGCGAAGTACTTCAACACGCAGTGTCTAAGCTTGCCTATCTTCTCGGTATAACCATGGTTCTCAACAGCGTGCAGCCGGTTATTTCTGGTACGAATAAACTCATAACCATCAAAACCAAACCGGGTGGTCTCATCAGATCATAACATTCTTGGGTATATTTTGTAGGTGTGGCTATTGGTGCTGGTTGGCAAGGTTTGGTGGCTTATATCAACTTGGGCTGTTACTACATTTTTGGCCTTCCCTTTGGCTATTTTCTTGGTTACATAGCAAACTATGGAGTGATGGTAAATAAATAAATATACAGAATGACATGAACTATACTAAAAAAATTTCAGGTTGCTTAATGGTGTTTATAACGTTTTTTAGGGACTTTGGTCTGGAATGATATCCGGAACTGCGCTTCAAACCTTGTTACTGATAGTTGTTCTCTACAAGACAAACTGGAATAAAGAGGTAAGAATCCGAGATACAAAATTAAATAATCATATACACTTGCTTGTTCATTGAGATTGATTTTTATTTTGGGTTCTTGTGATCCATCATTGGGTTACTGTAATGAACAGGTGGAGGAGACGATGGAACGTATGAAGAAATGGGGAGGGAGCGAGACAATATCGCAGGATGTAATTGCGTGATTTTGTTTTTTTTTTTTAGCTTATATGAATCTGTAGCTTTTTGTTTGGTTTCTTGATTGGTTTTGGCACCAACAACAGTATTTTTAGTCTATGTAGGAAACTGTTCAATCAGTGATGTAACGCTGCTTTTGTTTAACATTCTTTTCTTCCAAAAGAGAAAGTGCAATTGAAGCTAAATTTGCTCTTGTGGCCTATATATGTTTCATATTTGAATGCGTTAACTAGAAAAATAAACATTTTTCAAGTACTGGAAGGCAAAACAATACGAAAAGGTAAAAAAGTGTCATCTGGCCCTATTACTTCATTTATCTTTATACCAATACTATATTTTCACCCATATTGATTTTCGTTTTCAAATTTAAACTGTTAGATGTTTATACAATGAGAAACATATCGAATAAGTTAATGCTGATAAGTTTTTACAACTAATTTATGTATAACACTGTTGTACATATAACCACACAAAATTTAAGTCATGCAAAGTTTATGAATTTTGATGTGTCAAAATTTATAAATGAAGATAATTCGTTTTTTAACCTGCATAAAACACCAATGAAGATTCAATAGAATATTAGAAAGTGAATACATGCTCTTTAAAAGATTCAGAAGTTTGGGTATTTCACATTCGCCAAATCAAAGAATACACAAAAGAAGAGTTCAATTGAGAAGCGCAAATAGAGTTTAAAAGCAACCTCATTGCAAACAGAACGAAAACAAAACACAAAATTTCTATTTTCGGTAATTGTTACCAATTTGAGTTTCTCAACTATCAAACATACACAGATATAACAATTTTAAACCAAATATTATACCTAGGGACCTTTCTGATCAATTCCTTAGCTCATCCCATTTGTCATATAAAAGTCTCAATCGCTTGAAGACGTGTGAATACTATTCTCATAGGAGTCGCGATTAAATTGAAGTTTAAAATTATCTTCCATTCATGTTTAAAATTTTAGTTGTCATACTATTCGCAAATATGGAAGATTTTGATTAAGAACGCATTAAGATAGTGTTATTCTTCTAAAAAAACATATATTGTTGTATAAATAACTTTTTATATCTCTAGTTGAGAATTTTATATTTTCTTAACTGCATCACGAAGAAAATTTTCCAAAATTTACAAAGCTATGGTTTGGATATAAGAGAAGAATAACATGTTCCTTCAATCAAAAATGTTGTAGAAGTAAACTGAGAGTTCTTACCTACGTTTTCGCAGACAAAAACTTCACGGGAGGCAAACAATATATAATAGGGACATAATATCAATGTTAGCAAGATTAATTAAGTTAAGCTTTAATGAATTACAAAGCATTCTAAAATTTCAAGGGGGCAAATGCCCCACCGTTTCCTCACCTAGCTCCAGTAAAAATTTTACTCGTCCGAGATCTATAAAGTATATGATTGGTATATGTTCGCATGGGTATCCTCTATAAGACTATAATGCTTCATCAACAAAATGACACAAAATTAATATGAGAAGGCTTGGCTTTTGCAATTAAATATAGAAAATTACGAATGTTACTATTAGTCATGGGAAGTTGGAAAGTGAACGGTGCATGGTTAGCGTCAATGCTTTACTCCACACCTAGTAGAATTGAATTTTTGTCATCGATCTTAAGTATAAATTTTTTTTAAGTGATTTCAATCAATAAAATAAAATAAAATGGACATGTGTCGATCAAATAGCTTGCCACGTGTTTCTCTATGGAAAGTGTTGGCCAAAT